CCCCGTTTCTAAAAAGAAAGAAAGAAAGAAAAACAATTTCTATTATGGTATAGATATAAAAGAGAATCTCAATGAAAGAGAAAATGTAATGATCTTAAGAATAAGAAATCATTTAATGATTTATTATAATGATGCTAGTTATCTTCAAAGCTATTTGACTTAAAAAAGGAACAATTTTCCAGAAACTTTACAGCTTAATTCTAAAGTTTAGATTCAACAGACAAATAGCTCCAGTGTTCCTAAAGGAAAAGAAAATGAGGTGAAACGTCTCTAACAGTAACTTCTGTAATATGGAAAAAGTAATTAAGACAGTGACATTCCATTAAGAGACACAATTGATTAAAAGAACAGTAACCCATCTGACATGATCAGAAATGCAACTGCAAGTTAACTGCCTTGGAAAGGGAAAAATATCTCTTCAATAGAAATGGGATACCAAATCCTCAAAGAAACAACTGCCCAATAAATAAGTGGGCTAAAGACTTAAAGAGAAACTTCTCTGAAGAAGAAAGGTGGATGGCCAATAGACACATGAAGAAATGCTCAACCTCTCTAGCCATAAAAGAAATGTAAATCAAAACAACACTGAGATACCACCTCACCCCAGTTAGAATGACTATAATCAAGAACTCTAATATCAACAGATGCTGGAGGGAATGTGGACAGAAGGGAACCCTACTGCATTGTTGGTGGGAATGTAAACTTGTTCAACCACTTTGGAAAGCAGTATGGAGGTTCCTCAAAAGACTCCACATAGAGCTCCCCTATGACCCAGCAATCCCACTTTTGGGCATTTACCCAAATGATCACAAACAAGACAATACTAAAGCTACCAGCACGACTATGTTTATTGCAGTATTATTTACCATAGCTAAGATATGGAACCAACCCAGATGCCCCTCAGTAGACAAATCAGTCAAGAAAATGTGGTATATACACAATGGAATTCTATGCCTCCATCAGAAAGAATGACATTGCCCCATTTCTTAGAAAATGGAAAGACTTGGAAAAAATTATATTAAGTGAAGTAAGCCAGGCCCAAAGAAACATAGGTCCCATGGTTTCCCTTATTTGCAATAACTAGTATATGTCTGAGACAAGCAGAAAAGGTCAGATAAGTTGATGTTAGGCGAAATGAACCCCAAGATAAGGATTCAAATGTTTTTTTTTCTTTCTTGCGATTGTTTATAACGTATTTATAAGATGATTTCTTTGTTGCTTTGTATGCTCCTTCCCCACGGTATAACCGTGCTTTCACTGTATTTAATGTTGGTATAATTAGTGGAGGGAAGGGAAAAAACAAACCATTTAAATAGGGATACAGGTGGACCCATTGCAACAATGAGATGTACAAGATGTTATGTAGAAAAACGAACTTTACAACTTTGGCTGGGGCAGGGGGGGTGGGGAGGGGGTGTTGGGGGGAGGGCGCAGAGCAGGGTGGATGGGAAGGGATAAGAAGGGGAAACAAAGGAGGAGGCAACAATGCTTGATAAGAAATGTACTCATTACCTTGCCCATGTCATTTTCACAATAAAAAATAAAATAAAATAAATCTCATTTGAAAGAAATTAAAAAAAAAGAAATGGGACGCCACAACTAAATACCCTAATGACAAATCTCAGAGACACAGAAAACAAATTTCAGTGGATCAAAGGCTTAAATAATAAAGGCAAAATTCAAATAGTCAAAGACAAGATGGAAGATGTTAATAAACAAGTTAGTAATGAACATGAAAATATCCCAACCTCACTAATAATTAGAAAAACAAACTCAAATGAACAAAGTATAATTTCATAGCACTCTAACACACGGAATCAAAGCTTGTCAGGGTGCAAAAGAACTGAGAAAAGCCAATATACATTGAGAAGGTGAGGCAAAAAGTTGACTAGAAACTGGATGTCTTACACTGTGTTGGAGCACTTTCTTAGCACACGCATTATACAATGGAGCATTGGAAATGAAAGAACAAAGGATCTAAGCTATCTGCATCATCTTTGATTGATTATTGATTGATTGATTGCCTGTTCTGGGGTTTAAACTCAGTCTCCCACTCACAAGGCTGACTGTACTAAGTCAGCCCTGCAGCCTCACTTTCCATTGGTCATTTTTGAGATAGTTCACTTTCATTATGCACAGCTGGACTATAATCCATTTGGCTTTAAGTTTCACCTTATTGGGAAGCTTCTCCCCATTGACAGTGAGTTTCAAGAACTTTTCTTCCCATGCTGACCGGGAACCAGATTCTCCAAAGCTTAGCTTTCCCTGTAGCTTAGGATACTTGTCAAGTGGTTTGAGAAGAAATCTCTCAAACCTTCTGCCCAGTATAGTCTCAAATCACAATCCCATTGTCAGGTGCCCAGGTAACTAGAATTACAGGCTCAAACCTTGCAACCCACAACATAAACTTTTGAACATATAACACTATTGGATTTTGCTTATTTGAAATAAACCTTAAGTCTCAGAAGAAAACAAAAGTTAAAACACTGATACATATTTTAAACAGGAAAACTACACTAATATCAGTAGGATAGTCATAGAGAAAGAAGTGACAGAAAACTACAGGTGTAGTTAAGAGGACAACTTCAAAAACTCAAGATAATAATTAGATTTGCAGAAATGAGGTATAATCAGGGATGAACTGGAAAGCAGTTAAACACAGTTGAAAAAGTCACTTTCCTAAAGTTAAGTCACATGCTATCATTCATTATGACAGTTTAACTTTACCATTAACTGAGATATATATTGCACATACATACATATGGATGTGAATATATGTATACAGATGCACATATCTTCTCTCTTCTGGAGCATAGTACATTAGGTATGCAGATGATACACAAGCTCTCCTACTACTGCCTGCAGACAAACAGTCACAGTGTAAAGGTACAAAAGTGCTAAGATTCTAGCTACTGCTCTTGTTATAATAAAGTCATTTTTCAACAAGGCATAGGTGTCTTACATCTGTAATCCTAGCTACTCAGGAAACTCAATGAAACTGAAGCAAGCCTAGGCAGAAGTCTGTGAGATTCCATCTCCAATTAACTAGCAGAAATCTATACTGCAGGTGTGGCTTTAGTGATAAGGTGCCAGTTGTGAGTAAATAAGCCATATTTCACAAGGCCCTCCATTCAGACTCTGGTACTGCCAGATAGATACGAGAGAGAGACAGACAGACAGACAGACAGACAGACAGACAGAGACAGAGACAAAGACGAGAAATGATAAAGTCCTTCTATTACTCAAAAAACTATCAACATTCATGAAACTTGTTCCTTTGTAAAGTTGATAAATCTTAGACCTTTTGCATTTTCCTACAAGAATAGTGAATTTTGTTCATAAAAGAAGAGGTATAGTACAGTATGGTGAAAATCTTCTTAAGTAAGGGTTAGAAAAAATGAGTGTTTCCATGTTTCAGTACAAAATATAAATGTTATTCACTCCACTTCTTGAGTCCCTTAAGAATTGAATAGCACAGGGCTGGGAAGGTGGCCCAGTGGTAGAGTGCTTGCCTTGCATGCTTGAGGCCCTAGGTTCAATTCCTTTGCACCACATAAGCAAAAAGAAAAAAGCTGGAAGTGGCGCTGTGGCTCAAGTGGTAGAGTGCTAGCCTTGAGCTGAAGAGCTGAGGGACAGTGCCCAGGCCCAGAGTTCAGGCCCCACGACTGGACCCCCCCTCCCCGAAAAAAAAGAATTGAAAAGCACAGTCTTCTAAAGAGAGCTAGAATAGTGCCTATTTCTGTAGGTCTGAAATAATAAATATTGTGAAAAAGAAACCTGAGGCTAAGTACATAGATACTAAAGAGAAAACCCAATGACAGCAAGTTCAAAGTTTATTTAATCTGTACTAAAATATTTATCTGTAATCAAGGACAAAATAAAAATTCTCTTTCAACTTGTGTATCAAAGAGAAAGTACAGAATCTTGTGAAGAAATTTACATAAAATACTTTCATAATACACAAGTATCCCTGGAATGAGAAATCTTCAAAAAGACCGCCCAACCTTGACAACTGTATTCCCCCAGGAATTGAGGGTACTGTTTATATGACATCCAGTAGGTGGTCTTGTGTGTGGGTGAAATATTCTAGCTGGCTTTGGATTCCCACCTGGAGGGGCAGATTTGACTCTGGTCTCAGCACTGAATTTCTTTTTCTTTTTTTGTCTTTTGTTTTTTTTTTTTAACTTTTTAATTAATTTTTTGTCAAGGTAATATACAAAGGTGTTTCAGTTACATAAGTAAGGTAATGCATACATTTCTTATCATAGTCAAACATTTTGGTCCTCTGTGTGGATATGCTTCCATATCTCCAGCTATGTAATACACATAGTTATAGATACACACAGATTTCTAAAAATTCCTTATTAATCATCTTAATGATTTGGCTGGCATGAAGCACAAGTGTATAATTTTTAGCACTAAGGTAACATATTTACAGCCCCAACTACATTCCTTTGTTTAACTTTTCAATATTCTATTTCTTGTTTAAATGGTATTACTTACTCTATCTGCACTTCTTACCAAAATTTTCTCAGAAAATTTTAGAAGACAGAAAGTAAAGATCACATATGAATGTGTATTTATCTTATGATTTAAGATAAAACAAAATATTTAGTAAAAATATTATGTGTCCTGGTTGTTTGGGCAGTAGTGGAATATTAACTCAATAATTTTGTTATTAAGTTGAGAATCTACTACTTGAGCCATATATCCAACAAAGCTTTCACATAGTTATATTAGGGAGTCTCATGGACTTTCTGCCTGGACTGACCTTATTGCAATTCTCCACATCTCAGCCTTCTGAGTAGCTAAGGTTATAGGTTTGAGCCACTGGCACCCAGCTATCTTCTAGGTTAAAAGGAAGACAATATAAGCTATAAGCTTCTATAGATTCATAAACTATCTTGCATTATCAAAGAAACAAAGTATCATGTTTATAATTACATTAATGAAGCAACTTGAAAGACAACAGGAGCTTTATCCTTGGTTCGATAACTTACTTGCAAATATCATCTTCTGGGTCTTCTAATCCAAACCGTTCATCAAATGTAAGCTGTATCCACATGTTCTCAGCTGTCACTAATCTCCATACCAGGACCATATTTCTTGGATATGTGTGAGGAAACCTTGGGCTGTGAATACTCCCATTTGAAGACACAGTAATAACCCTCTCATGCTGGGGATCTTGAACACCTAAAGCAAAAATAGACACACCAGAACAGTTTCAGAACACACATTTCAAAATTTACACATTTAAAGTAAGTATATTTCATATTTCATATTTACCCCAAATAAGTAGATCAATAGCATAATCAACCAAGCACACTGTTGTCAAAATTTAAACAAAAACTTATATATATTTATACTTGAAAGAATACAGGAAAAATTGTATTTTTAAGTCCAACACTGAATTATGAATAACCAACTCCTCTGGATATCTAATAATTTTTTTATTTTATTTTTAAAAATACAAGTAATGACTTAAATTTCCTAATCATAAAAACTAATTAATGATCTAAATGATTCCACTAATTTCATGTGACAATAGCTGAGAGAGCTGAAGAAAAAGAAATGAGGATAAAAGGAGCAGCAGTGGAATAATACAAGAGAAGGTTATCAACTCAAATTCATTAAATTTGAAATGTCAATCATCATTTTTAGCTTTGTATCTTTTTATTCTTAATACTTTAGAAACTAGGTGAATAAGACAATCCACAGCTTCTCATGTGGACACACAATTCAATTTTGTATTAAGTTATATTTGATACAAGCTCTAAGTTTTACATAAATTCCAATTTTATTATTAAATGACCTCAAATCTTACAAGACTTAAAAAAGTAAAGTGAGACCAAAGCCATGGTCTTAATTTCTTGTTTTATGGCTACTGAAAATTTTCAGGTCTTCTCAGTGCCTTATTATGTTAATATGAATTCTGAATATGCCAAGGGAAAATACAGTACAAAACAGCTTAAAATGGATTGCTTAAAATGGAATTTACTTATTTATTTACTGGTATACTTTATTTGCTTGGACTCACGGTCTCCTGTTCCTTCAACTTGCTTGCTTAGTTGGAATGTCACCCCTTCAGCCATGACTCCAGCCCATTTTTTGGTGGCTATTTTGGATACAGTCTCATAGGAGTTTTTTCTAGGGCTGATTTTCCAACCATAATCTCCAGATCTCAGCATCTGGAGTAGGAAAGATTACAGGCTCTGCCACTCACTAGAATGGAATATTTTAGCATCTGTAAAATGAGGTATTTTTATACCTGTTAAGATAAGTCCTTAATAATACCTATCTCTTTTGAATAGAATATTGGGCAAATAACAGAAGAAAAAGGTGAATGCATATTGCTGTGAAAACAGTCTTCTTACCCAGTCAACCTACCCAGTTGAAAGTTAATGAGAGGAAATGTCATCATTCATCTGCTCTAGAGACACTAAGAACTAAGACTGTTCCAGTCTTTACCCCAGGGAATTCCATTTAAACAAGATAAACTCCAATAAAATGAAAAATTGTTTTAACCAACCATCATTCAATTTATAAGAAATTTTCAAAAGCCTCAAACTGCACCCTGAACCCATGAAGCAAGGTCCACATTAGGAATTAATACTTTTGTGCAACTTCTACATCCTAATAACAGTTTCATCCAGAACAGCTCCTAATTCTGAGAGATCCCACATGACACTGAGCCCTGTGTTTGTGGCAAGATTAAAGAATAGCAAGAATAATATTATAAACACCTTTCATTTGCTCCTTTCTCAACATACTTAGGCATAGTCTTTCACTAAGACAAATTTCATTTTATGCGCTCCTTCTGGATATGTCCATGAAACCTATACAATGCAGACTTAATTATCAAGGCCTACTAATCACCACATTTTAGAATTAAGTTCACATTTCTCTTCTCTTCTTTTTTCTATTAAAGTTGTCTACCATTTCCTCTTTTCTATTTATTTCATTCACCATACGCTAATTGCTTTTTGCTTATTTCCTGATGTTAATCCGCTCTGCTTGCACACAATTGAGCTTAATCGCTCTGTGGTAGGAAGGAGTATAAGATGACTCTCAGTGTCCTTAACCTTGTGCATCCTTAAACTTATCCCTTGTACGTGTGATATTATTGCTTCATAAACAGATTGGTAGATTCTGGTTAATTAGTTAAGGTGAACCTGGCTGAATCAATCAGGCCCATGAAATAATTTCAGGGCACCTTAAACTCACAGAAATCACAAAATGAGAAGTATTCAACAGGACATAGATTGTTACTGACTTGAAAAATGCAGGAGGCACAGGTCAGAGGATTCAAAAACTTCAGAAACTAAGATTATACTATTTCATCACTCTGCTAGCAGTGGAGAGATGGGGAGGGGGGGGCTACATCCTAAACCTGGAAGCCTGAAGGAACTCAGAGTTAGATTCCCCCACCACCCCTGGTCTCCAAAGAGACCATGTCTAGTCTGGTTGATTGATGTTAGCCTCCTGAAACGCTATGCAAGATCCCTGTCATAGGAGGATGGACTTCCAAAATGTAGAAGTGAGAATGAATAAAAGGTATTCTAAATGGCTAATTTTGTGCTGGTTTCTTATGTAATATTAGAAGATAAAGACATATTTTATGTATACAAAGCGAATTATATTGCAGGAATTTATTTTGCCCCAAGTTTTTGCTAGTAATTATAGTATATAAGCAGCACATTTTCTTTTAGTGTTTGTGTTAATCAAAATATGTTAACATTCCTTTATCCTTAAACTATCCAAAATAAATCTTACAGTTGTATTTGAGACTTTTTAAATAAATAATTTAGTGACTGCTTCCTTCTTAGTGTCTAAACTCTTTTTCAGCTGTAAGTAAACCTATACCTAGGTTTTATCTTCCTGAACTATATGGGTAGAATTCACTTGAACTGACAGATCCTTTTATGGTCTTAGAAGATATACTTGTACTAAATTATGTATAGACAAAAAAGAAGACTTTGTGTGCATACGTGTGTGTGTGTGTATATATGTGTTTGTGTGTGTGTGTGTGTGTGTGTGTGTGTGTGTGTGTGTGTGTGTGTGTGTATGTGTGTGTGTTGTTTTCAGAATCCAGGACCTGCACATGCTGGATAAGGACCCTGCAACTGAACTGTATCTCACCTTTGATTATTTTATATGTCAATAATTAATGTTAAAATAATATTGTTAACATAGAAGTTAACAAATGGTATATCAATATTTGAATAAGTGAATCTTCTAAAGAGGATTCATGAGCACTAAGCCTTAGTCCTGGTATGTCTTACAACACTTGCCTTGGACCAGGGCACGCCATAGTAACAGAGACTTACTGTTATGTCCAACCCAGGAATTTACATAACTATTGGAAGACACACATTCTATTTTTGTATCTACTTAAAGAGGTCATACCTAAAATAACATACTTAAATCATGTTCCTTTATAATTCACAACTTCATTAGACTATAATTAAATATAATTTTAAAGACTGAAAATCTAAGGTCCATTTGTGGTAAAAGAATTGTAAATTTTCTTTCAAGTGAAAATTGTTGTTCTCGAAAAAGTCACTTCAAAATATAATGATCTCTGCCACAAAACAAACAAGATTTTCAGATGACAGTTTTAGGTAAATATCAAACAACTAGGCCTATACTCAAGAAAAAGAAAGAAAAAGCAATAAACATTAAGTTCTACCAAAGTAAAAGACCCTGTTGTTACAGTACTGTTGTTTATGGTTATCTTCTACACTTACTAGCTGAAGAATGAAAAAAGTAGGTAGCACTTTCTCACTGTTTAATAAAAGTTTGCTTTTCTTGTATCCAATAAAGAGTACTCAAAGTTCTAGTTAAATCTTTTTTAATCATATCACTAAGCTAATAACACCATGATACTGCAATGTACAATTAAACAATTAGATAACAGAAAGAAAAATATATATGTAAATATAAGAATTTTAAAGTTATAATTTTACACAGTGTCATATTATATTGCCCAATCCTTCTTAAGGTAAGAGTATTAAAAACCAAAATGAAGTTAAACAGGAAAAAAGAAGGTTGACCATGTACACACGTGTGTAAAATGCCAGTATGAACATTTCATATCTGCATGCATTAAATCAATGAGTGTGGATATCACTGTCATATTTTCCCATATGTTATATTGTTGGTATTGTTAAGGCAACTTCATTATGGTTGAAAGAGAACAGTAGTAAGACAAGTCATAAAAAGAAAATTATAATACTTCGAAACGCTATATTATTTATAAGTAACATTTAAAAGTATACCTATGATATGTAGCTCATGAATTAAGATAAAATCGCTAATGTCCTTCTCTAGGCCAATATTTTATTCTCAAAGAATTGTGACAATGAGAATTAGCTAAGAAGGAATGAAGATCCAATATTGGTTTCATTTGAGAGCATTAAAGACTTCTTGCTTGACAAAGTTAAGGCCTTTTGTAGCAGCAAGTTACAATGTGCAAGCTGAGTCGACTTCACAGATGTCTCATGAGAAGTTTTCTGTGTTCACAGTGTATTAAAACATGTTAAAACAAAAAGTACTTCTTCTTTAAGAGTGTACATCTATTGCTAATCCTTACTTGCTAAGTATGCATATTCAATGGTCTTTTTTTTGCTTTGCTCTGTTCATTTGATTTTTTTTTTCTGCCTATAATAACTCTTCCTTATCCTAATCTTACTAGTTTGTTTACAGAGCTAATTAATGAAATTATTATCTCATTAATGATTTATTTTAGCCTTAGTTAATATCATGCCACATACACAAATACATTCATAGATCTTCACTCACCCCATACACAAATGCCTTTTTTTTATTTTTGGTCAGTCGTGGGGCTTGAACTCTGGACCTGGGCACTGTCCCCCAGCTCTTCAGCTCAAGGCTAGCACTCTACCACTTGAGCCATAGCGCCACTTCCGGTCTTCTAAGTGGTTCATTAGAGATAAGAGTCTCACTACCTTTTCTTGCCCGGGCTGGCTTTGAACTGTGATCCTCAGATCTCAGCCTCCTGAGTAGCTAGGATTACAAGCATGAGCCACCGGTGCCCTGCTACAAATGCCTTTTTACACCTAGAAAAGCCAGAGTAATTTTATCTTGGCTTTGATTTTGCAAAGTTACACTTAAATCCCATAGTGCTAACAAGTATTTCTCAGTTTAACTTATACACAAGTGGCCGGCCCACT